GGCAAGAAAAGCTCCTGGGAAAGGCACTCCCGACGACACACCAGCTCTTCCCAGCAGCCAAAACATGCCCCGTGCTCCCAGCAGCACAGGAGACAAACAGAGCTGCCAAAAGGCCACCGGGGAGAGACCTGAAAGGGGCTCACTCCACCGGCTGCGGCGGTGCCTCTCCTGTTCCTACAGGCTCACAAGCACTGTGGGGACACTAATCAACACAGACGGCCACGCACTGCCTGCTCATTCCCATTCTTTGTCACTCTGTCTGCCTCCTGGGCATGAAGCATCACCCACACCTCCCCATACCTGCCTCTCACCACACCCCGCAGGACTGCAGGCTTCATCTCGCTCCTTCTCTTTCCCCATTGGCAGAGGGAACAGAAAGGAACAGATCCGTATTTATTTTCATCAGGGCCAATTATGAACCTATATTAAAAGCCACAGAAATAGGTAAGTAGACAGAGAAGCTAGTATTTCCTGTGCTCATATAATATTAATTAAAAGGCAGTTTCTCTATGAAATACTGCTACATTACCTCTGCTAAAAATGGAGAAAAGTCACCGTGTGGGAAGAAGACGTAAGCAGAGCACTTTCTGGAGTACTCTCACAAATCAATAACTATGCAGAATGTTTGCTGCAGATACACCCAATGCAAAGTGCCGAATTACAGAAAGGCCCAGAACTTCTATCCTAAAGGTCTCAGTGATTTCCAGCAATCACCTAGCAATCTCAACAGCCCACCTCTGATATCTCATTCCCCACCAGTGGTGGCTTGGCTCCCAGAAGACACAAGAGATGCTATGAGTGGATGTGGACACCACGGCTCAGAGCCGGGCAACAGGAGAGCCCTCAGTAGTTAACCCAGTGGAGAAATCACATCTGTCATCTCCATAGCTAGCCTTTCACTTGGAACTTGGCTAAACATCCGCTTGAACCTGGCCGGAGGACACAGAGCCCTCTAAATGCCTGGATGACACCCAGCCATCGTGGGGCTACAGGACAAGGCTCATCCTGGGGACTGGCATTTCTCGGAGCACTCACCACCTCAGGATGCTCCCAGGCTTTCAGTGCTCACAACAGGCAGCAAGGCGGGAGAAGAACCAAGGAAAACAATGAGCAACATGCAGGAAGCTCTGTTTTCTTTGGTCTGCAATGATCTGCACGAATCTTCAGCTGCTGGAGACGACTATCCACACTGGCCCCTCTCCAGGGCAGCTGCAGCCTCTCCTCAGCAGCACGAACTTCTCTCTGCTCCCAGGGATGGTGTGGGAGAGCTGCACGCGCAGCCCTGCACGGAGCCCTACCAGCCAGCTGGTTGTCCTTCTTGTTCCTGCTGGGAAAGACGAGGAACACCACCTCTCCTCCCACTGACACGGGCACTGCTGGTGGCTGCCACAGAGCAGGCAATGGACCTCCCTGGGGCTGCAGGGACACACACCAAAGCACGCCGCACGGAGAGCAACAAAGGCACTTGCAAGCCACAGCATGTCCTGCCTTTAACCATTTGGAAAGTCGCTGTATGTTTTGGAATCAAAGGCTTTCTTTGTGCTCTTGAAGAAGCCAACAAGCCATCCTAATGAGGAAAGTGTTTATCTGAGGTCTTAAGCAACACTGTGCCTATTTCGTGCCAGCACGGTGTTTGACAGAGAGGACTGCCCAGCCTGAGCTGCCCACTGGCACACTGGCCCTGCCCTCTGCAGCCAGGAGGAGGCTTGGGCTCTCCATGGCGCCGATCACACCTTAGGAGCTGGGTACAGAGCTGGAGGGACTGCTGTGACACTGGCACCATACAGGCTGGCTTGAACTGCACCCAGCAGCATTCCTGTCCTCTAGGATGGAAGCTGAAAGGAGGTCGCTTAAATCCCAGCCGTGCCACAGAGTCATAGAATCATTACAGTTGAAAAAGGTCTCTAAGGTCATCTATTCTGATTGCCAGCACATCACCACCGTGCCCACTAAACCACGTCCCTCGTCTTGAAGGAGCTCCCAGTCCCATCACCAGCCCCAGGAGTGCTGCTGCTTTTCCCAGCCCACACCATCTTGCTCACCAGAGCTGGAGGGTTCACACAGCCAAAAGCTGCTGTGCCACCTGGTCTCCCAGACAGGAGTCTGCCCATACCAGTTTCCCTGCAGGACAAAAAGGCTGCCATAACCTGTCCTGGCCTCACGAAAGTCTCCACCACCTGACATAATGGGTTCAATGAAGGCACTCAGAGGCCCAGCAGAGCACACCCCAGCCCACAACCACCCAAAACTCAGCAGAAGCCTGCTCTGTTCAACCAGGGCTTTGCTTGACACGAAGGGAGGCCAGTGGTAGTCTGCCGCCTCGGCTCTTGGAAGCTGCAAGCTGCTCTGAGCTCCCATTCCCTCTCTGCTGCTGGGACAGCACACATCGGTCACCTCTCATAGGACAGGAGAGCTGTCTCTTCCACGTGTAGGCAAGGATTGTGTCTCCAAGAAATGGCAAGGCTTACACTGAGGCTAGAAGTACTGCACGGCTCAGCCTTTTAAGCTCAGGAAAAACATTTTTGTATCAAATAATAAAATAAAAAATGAAAAAAATGCTGGCACTCAGAGTGAGGAACAGAGAGCCGGAGCAGAAGTGAATGAAAAGCACATGCGCTGCAGACCTGGCTGCCAACGCAAATTGATGCTTTGAAACAAAGAGCACTTGTGTTTGGCTTGTGGATCTTCCACGGCTCCTCGGCAGGGGATGCACAGATGGGAAGGAAGCACAGGTAGAGACACGGCGATGGCACTTGCTGCCGAGCGCTTCCCCAAACAAAGGCACGGCCCAAAATGGAGTCCCTGCTGTGACCCGTGGGGCAGCAATGGCTCATCCCCATCCCGTGCTGAAGGGGAGCGTGGGACAAACCTCTGGACAGCACAATCCGAATCACAAAATCACTAAGGTTAGAAAAGACCACTAAGATCATCGTGTCCACCCACGGCCAGCGCCCTGACCCACACACACCGCATGCCCGCACTGCTGCGGGCTCACAGGGGACACCTCCAGACGTCGACAGCAGCCGCACGGAGCGCCTGCCGCCCCGCAGCAGCCTCACCTGCCACCCACCGGCTCTCCCACGGAGCCCCGATCCTCGCAGCCCGGCTGCAGGACCGCTCCCCGGGCACGCCGGGGCACGAGGCGCGCCGCGCTGCAGCCCCACGGCACCAGATAACATCTGCTTCCTGAGCGGGAGCACGGAATTACCGAGCGGCAATCGGACGGCCCCCAAACATCCCGCGGGCACGGAACGGGACGTGGCAGCGGACCACCCCGGTGCCCCCAAACCAACTCGCTGTCGACCGCTTTCGCAGCCCCCGATCGCAACTCCCCGCAGACGGGAGATGCTCCCCGCTCCCCGAGGTCCCGACCCGAAGAGGGGAGCGTTTCCCTGCGCTCACAAAGGGCACGTTTGTACCCGCGCCCGCTGCTAAATGCGCGGTTGTTCCGAGCCGCCGGACCTGGAGGGCTGTGGAAACACCCGCTGCTCCGCGGAATAGTTCGCATTCCAGCTCTGAGGGTTGCGCTTGGAAACGCTCAGAGAGGAAGGAGTGTTTATTCACCGAGAGAGGTGTGGGTCCGGCTATTGACTTAGGCCCACGTGTAATTGCCGGAGGACGGCTTTGATCTCCGCGGCTTGACCAGCAGATGAATGGCAAGGAAGGAAAGAAAAATACCAGTGTCAGGTTCCCCCGGCAGATACCCGCAGCCGGGCCTCACCGCCCTCGCGTCTTTGTGAAGCGCCCGGCCGCCCGCTGCCTCTCCCTCTCCCTTCCTCCGCTCGGTGGCCGCGGGGGACCGAGATCCGGGCCGTGCGCCCAGCGCCAAGGGGACAGACGGGGACACGCGGGGACCGGCACAGCGCGGCAGCCGCAGCATCCCCACGGCGGCGGGAGCGCCGGGAGGCAGATGGCAGCCCGGGCTCAGCGAGCAGAGCCGCCCAAGTGCCTTAACGCCGGATCTCATCCGGTCGCTCCTCTTCTCAGAGGTTCTCTCCTTTAGGAGCTCGAGGCCCCCGCAGAAGGACATCTCCCGTTCGGGATTTTCTGCCTCTCCAGAAGCGTCGACTCAGCGAATAGCTGCTCCGACCGCAGAGCCGTGCGGAGCCGTGCGGAGCCGCGCACACCCTGCGGGCCGCGGTGCCACCCGCTGCGGGCAGAGCGCGGCCCGGCAACAAGCGAGGCGACCCCGGACGCGGCGCTGCCCACCGCCCACCCCCCAGCGCGGGGCTCCCAGGGCGGGGCGCGCAGCCCCCGCAGCGCCGCGCGGAGCCGAATCCCGGGCTGTTGGAGCGCCGCGCCCGTACTCACCGAGCAGCAGCAGCGCCCGCACCGCCGCCATCCTCGCCCCGCGCCGCTCACAGCACACCCCGCGCCCGGGCCATGCCGCCGCCGCCGCCCCGCCCGCCGCCGCCGCCGGGAGGGGCTTCCGGGGGAGGGCCTGCAGGCGGAAACCGGGCGGGGCCGGGGAGGGTGGGGAGCGCCGCCCTCCGTCGGGTCTGCCGGAGCGGCTGCCCCCAGCCCGCGTGTGCCCCGTGCCCGCGAGGCCGCCGAGCCCCGGCCGCCGCTGCGGAGAAACCGCCGCTTCCCGCTGCCCGAATCCCCTGCGGTTGCGGCCGGGGTCGGGGCAGCCACAGGTGGAAGCTGGAAGCGGGTCCCGGTGAGACTCTCCCGCGGTTCCCCCGCTCCCCGCAGCAAGGGACCCACGGCCGCAGCGGTGCGAGCGGGTTTATTGAGTTGGCACCACCGGCCTCCTCCGGGGAAGCGCGCTGCTCCAGGTGCCCTCGGCACCGTGGCACCCGTCCCTCCCGGCTGCCGGGCGACCGTGCCCGCAACCGGCCCTCTCCCCTCGGATCCCCCTGTCCCCGCGGCAGCACTCCGGCGGCTCCGTGCAGCAATCGCGGAGGCCCACGCGGAGCCCGACGCCTCGCGGGCGGCCATTTGGCACCCGGACACTACACGGCCGGCACGAGCCCGCAGCCCGCGCCCGGGGCCGGAGGAGCGCAGCCGGGCGAGCCCTCAGTCACCGCCTGGTGCGGCGTGCCGGCTGGGTGCCCCAGCTGGGTGTGTGGGTGAGCGGTGGGTGAGGGCGCGTGGCCGTCTCCTCCAGGTCAGAGCTCGCCAAGCGCAGCGCAGCACAGCAGCGGGGCCTCACTCTGCCCGACGGATGAACCAGATCTCGTTGCGCCGCTGAGGGATGCTGGGGTTTTCATAGACGGCCACGATGTAGGTTTCCTGCAGCACAGTGTCCGTGGAACCCAGGAGCTCCCAGAAGAGAGAGATCTCCCGCAGAATGGTCTCCTCGGTGGTCACCCCATAGAACACCCTGTGGCAAGGGGAGCAACGTCAGTGGTGGGGCGGCTCGCTGCCGGCACAGCCCCTGCCCACGGCGCCCCACGGTCACCTGGTTATCACCCGGAGAGGTGCCCTCTCGGTGATGTGGATTTCGGGGTCCATGGGGGCAGGAGGGTTTTGCTGGAACTCTCCTGGGATGTAGTAGGCAGTGAGCACCTCGCGCTCCAGCTCGGTCCCCTCCTTGGTCAGGTGGATTTCATTGAGCACCGGGACGGTCATGCCCAGATAGCAACCTGCCAGGAGGTGGTGGGCATGGTGAGGCAGCTGGGCTGGCAGCCCAGGCAACCCCTGCCCCGCTCCCCCCCACTGGCCCCTTCGGTCCTGCCTGCACACACCTACAGAGTTCTCCTTGCAGATGTAGCGCATGAGCTTCATGAAGCTCAGGGAGATGCTCTGCTCATACAGGGGCTCACCCTTGGTGACACAGGCCCACTTCCCAGCTGGGTACTGCCGCTCCTCGTAGGCCGCTTCCTCGCACTGAAACAGGCCACAGGACAAGGGCACATCAGCGGGAAGCGGGGAGACGGGCCCTGCTGACACAGGAGGCTGGAGAATGCGAGGGGAGCTGGTGTCACACACACGTCTCAGGCAGCGACACATAATGCCAGCAGGCAGAAGTCAGCAAAAGGGGCAGCACAGACATGGGACAGGGAGGGGGGAGGCTTGGAGGCTCCTGGCATGCACATGGAATGCAGCGCATCCTCAGCAGGGAGCGCAGGACTCTGCTCCACGCCGTCACTGTCCTGCCTATGCACAAGGATGTTCCTGATTCCAGGCACCCAAAGGCCTCCAGGAGGGCTGAGTGGATCCCGGGGCGCAGCACTGGAGCGCTGTGTGCGTGTGGGATGATAAGCAGCACGGGAGGAAGGAGGGGCTGAGTTGGTTGGAACAAAGTCCCTCTTGGATCCTTCTCCCATACCAAGGAGAGACGTGAAGACGAAGAGACATGAGCGCAGCTGGTGCAAAGGGAACAGACAGTGCTGCGGAATGGGTCACAAGCTCATGACAGATGCTCGCTTTTCTGGAGAAGCCCGACAAGAGACAAGGGAGACACCCTCCAGATGGAGCCATGCCTGCCAACATCCCACCAAGCAAAGCAGAGCAGCAGCATTTGCCAGATAGGGGAAGCCCGTGAAATACTGTCTAATTCTCATTGTGACAACATCCGAGAATCCAGCAGGGCACAGTGCCGGGTCCTCCCGCCATCTGGCCCTTACACTGACCCACCACCGCTCCAGAAGACAAGACCTGGGCAAGAGAAAGAGTGACGATGCCTCACTTGTACCCAGTGGTAACAGTTCCTTGCCATGTGGGGTGGGGATTCTGATGCTCAGTGCCGAGGTCAGCAAGGCTCTGCAGGTGGTGCAGTTATTTGAGTGCTTCCAAGAGGATGGCATGAAGCTCAAGAGGAGCCACCGAGCTCTACCACCCGCCCAAGCCTGGGGAATGTGTCCACAAGGGCCCACGGTTGAGTGCCCCTGCACTTGTGCCAGGAGGTGGCTCTCATCTCGCGCAGCCCCAGAGCTGAACTCCAAGAATCCTCTTCAAACAGTGGAGGTGCCATTGGCAACAAAAGGCCTTCAGGCACCGTGGAGTGCTGGGCTGCAATCTTGCCCACAATGGGGGAGGTACAGAAGAGCCCAGATTAAGCCCTGAGACCTAGAAGAGCAGGAAAGAGGGAGCATGGAGCAGCCCAGCTCAGAGCTGCACAACCCACATGCTGAGACGTGTTCCGCAGGCAGCACTGCTGGACCTCAGCCCAGAAGAAACTGGTTAAGCTCTCCTCATCTAGAGGACAACTGACAGATATCTTCTTGGTAGCGAGCCCAACCAAGCTTGAAGAGACACAAGAACCAGTCTGACGAGCGCTTCTTTGCAGTTATTTCTCAAAGCACCTTTTTGTGTAAGAGATTAGCGGAGGTGTGCAATTTAGCAAGAGCGGGAGATCTTCAGGCAGAAGCCACCAGGTTTGGAACAGCAGTTTTGACGCACAGGACACGCTCAGTCTGACAAACAGAACTGTAGAATCAGGGAACATCCCGAGCTGGAAGGGACCCCCGAGGATCACCGAGCCCAACCCCTGGCCCCACACAGCACCCCAGCCCCAGTGTCAGTGGTGTCCCAGCGCTCCCTGAGCTCCGGCATCGGGGCCGTGCCCACTGCCCTGGGCAGCCTGTGCCATGCCCACCGCCCTCTGGGGCACAGCCTTTCCCTCACCCCCACCTGCCCTCCCCTGACGCAGCTCCATGCCGTTCCCTCAGCCCTGTCGCTGTACAGACAGCAGAGCTCAGCGCTGCCCTCTGCTCCCTGGGAGAGCTGCAGCTGCCATCAGGCCTCCCCTCCGCTCCTCTGCTCTGCGCTGAGCAAACCCAGGGCCCTCAGTGCCCCTCAAGCAGACCCTTCCCCAGCCCTGCAGCCCTCCTGCGGACACTCTCGAGTAGTTTCACGTCTTTCTTACAGTGGCACCCAGAGCGCACGCAGTGCTGGAGCCGGAGCCGCAGGGCGCACTGCGGTCCCAGCCCTCCCTTCTCCCGCAGGCAGCGCAGCCTACACAGTGCAGACCGGCCCCGGTGCGGCGGCCCGGCCCGGCAGCTCCATGGCCGGGAGCGGGACGGTGCGAGCTCAGCGGGAGCGGAGAAGCGGGGCCTCACCTTGCCGTGCTGCGACAGGGCGACGTGGGGCACGGCCTCCCGCGTCTGTCTGTGCCGGTTCATCTGGACGATGGGGCCCGCCATGTCTGCAAGGCAAAACGCGGCGCGGGGGCGGCGGGCCGGGCGTGGAGGCGCGGAGGCACCCCCGGGCCGGGCCGCCCCCTAGCCGGGCTCCCCCGGCGCTCACCTCGGGGCAGGTTCACCCGGTGCGTGCTGGCCACGGCCTCCCAGTGCGCGAACAGCCGGCCCCGCTCCTCCTCGTCCTCCTCGTCCTCCCCCCCTTCCTCCTCGCCCTCCTCCTCCTCGTCGCCCAGCCTGTCCAGGTCTTCCAGCGTGATGCGCGCCATCGCCCTCCGCCCCGCTCCGGAAGGGAACGGCCCTCCGGGGCGTCACCGCGCTGTCATCGCCGCCGTCGTCATCGCTCCCCGCCCCCGACTCCCCCCCGCCCCAAGGAGCGCCCGGCGTCACGGGGAGGGTCGTGGCTTTATTTCATAAAATAACATACAGCAGCCGAGGGGAGCCAGGATCGCGGCGGGGCTGTGCCCCCTCCCCGCCTCGCCGCGCCCCCGGGTGGGCGATGCCGGGCGGTGCTGCGGTCCAGGCGCCCCCGGGTACGGCGGTCCGGGCGGCGGGGGTGCGCGGCGGTGCTCCGGGTGCGGCGCCGTGAGCCGGTGATGGCCCGCACCCCCCTACCCGCCCGGCCCCCGCTCGCTCGGGACAGGAGCACGCGTGCGGGCTGCGCTTCCCAAACTAGCTAGGGGCTCCCCCGGCCCGGGGTGGGGCGGCAAAGGGCGGCCCGAGAGCCCGCGGTGAGGAGAACGGAGCGGTGGAGGTGGGGAGGGGGCCGGGCGCTGCCCCACGCAGCGCAAAGCTGCGGCAAGCTGCCGCGGGCGCTCAGTTGGAAGCGAGCAGGGAGCTGTGCGAGGAGAGATCCATGCTGCTGGCGCTGAGGCCTCTGCTCTCTGCACGGAGCCCTTGGGTACCCTGAAAAACACGGCGTGTGTCAGCACGGGCCCCCAGCGCCAGGCCCCCCAGCTCCTGCTCCGCCGCTCACCTCGAACGAAGCATCGCTAGACTTGTGCAGGTAGTTTAGCGAGGCGGCTCGCTTCATGCTACGAGAAAGCAGAGAAGAGGGGTCGTCTGATGCCCGATCCCGCAGCGGCACCGCGGCCCGGCAGGACCCAGGCCGTAGCCCCTACCTGGTGTTCCTGGGCTCCAGGGGCCCGTTGCCCTGCAGCTTCTTGACCAACATCTCGCTGCTCCGCCGGATCACATCCCGGATTTTCCCCAGGGAGCTGCTGCGCTGGAGGGTACCGCTGCCGTCCTGGAGACGGAGACACAAGCCAGGGGGCGAGGACTGAGCAGCACAAAGAAAGCTCGAGTGTGCTGTGAACCAGGCCGCACCAGGCAGCCCTGGCCCTGTTCCGTCTCCTACGGCTCAGCTGGAAGCTATGAGGAGGTCCGAGCAGGTGCTGGTGGGAATCCCCACGCTGAGGGATACTTTTGGTTGGGCCAGGATGTGCTGCTGGGTCGCTTGCCTCAAAGATTCTCTTCCTAGTATGGAGACCAGGCCCAACTCCCCTCCTTCTCGCTCCACCAGTGCCATTCTCTCTCTCCATGCAGTGTTCATCCTGCTCCAGCTTGCTGGTTTCACAGCTACACTCGTGTCAGGCAGCACCACTCTGCGCACCACACTCACTCAGCCCACCTTGAAAGCCCCCCCAAGACTCTCTCAATTATCTCTGTAGTTGCTGAGCAGTGCAGGCAGCTCCACTCCACGGGGGATGCGCTCCTGTGTCTGTCTGCTGTTGGGGCCCCTTACGGGGCACTCAGCCCATGCCAGGCTCCAGCCCATCTGGATTTGCTCCACACATACAGAGCACATGCTGCCAGTATGAGGCCACCTTGTACCACCATCACCAAACTCTCCTGCATAGCCAGGAACCTCCTTACGGAGGGTTGCAACATCACTGCTGATGAGGGACTGCTTTTGCTCTTATGATGTGCTAACAGCAGTCTTCCTGGGTGCCAGTCCTATTGGCCTCAAGGGCTGCCTCTCCCGACACAAGGAGGCAGTGGAGATAAGGCACCACCAAAGCCCTCTGCTCTTTATGAGCAAGTGTGATACCCTAACATAGTCTCCATGAGCAGAATGCCCCCCGGCCTCGGCCAGCAGCAGCCAGAGCCCCAGGATTGTTTGTGCAGCTCTGCCTTACGGCCCCTCCTGCTCTTTCCCAGCTTTCCAGGAACCACCCTGGCACCAGGGAAACACTTCCCTGCTCTGGTTACCCAATGCTGATCCAGCCCTAGACCCCCCCCCTACCAGGTGAACAGGATGTTTCCTAACAGCAAACCTTTCTCCTGATTCTGGTCCCATCTGTTCCTGGATAAACCAAATGAGTCTCTTTGTGGTAATGAGCAAAGGGCTTCCAAACCAGGATCTGTGTGCTGTTGCAGCAAGGCACCCACGCACCAGGAATGCAGAAAGCACCATCAGCATTAGCAAGGCAAGCATTCAGCTCCTCCAGCAGGCATCCTAGGTGGGTTTTAGAAGAGCCGGCCATCAGCATGGCACTACCGAAGTAGGGGATGGGGAAGAAGCAAAAGAGCCCTGCCACCACTAGTCCCTGTGCTACCACCCTCCTGGCAGGGTACCGTCATGTCAAGCTCTGTTCTTTTTGCCAGGACACAGCAGCCAGAGGTAGAAAAGGGAGCACTGCTGGGGCAGTGGAGCAGGACCATGGTACAGAGGCAGCAAGAAGCTGCCCAGGACCCAAATAAGCTCTACAGTCAGGAGTGGTGAACAGAGCCACACTTGCCCAGCTACAGTGATGCAGGCTAACTGCAGCTCAATGCCAGAACCAAGTTCTGCTGCATGCTGGATTAAAAATAGCCTTCTTTCTCTCCCCACTCCCTCTTCTGCAGGTTATTTTTAACCCAGAACATGGAAGGCACTTGGTTTACTGCAGAGCACCCACCTCACTGCACCCACGAGGACGAGAGCACTCAAAGCACAAGCAGCAGCTTCAGCACTGAGTCACTCTCCCCTGCACACTCACGCCGTCTGCTTCATGGAGGCAAAGGACTCAGGCAGGATTTAAGAGCATGCAAAGCTCAGCACCAGAGGACACAGTGGGGTATTTTTCTGGCTAATGAAAACAGCAGTTGAGAAAGAACCAACCTCAGATGCTCCACGTCAGCCCTACAGTGTGACTGCAGAGCTATGGTTGGAAGCAACCCCAGTTTGAAGCAGGGAGCCGAGTCCTGCTCCGATGCTCAGCCCAGAAGAGATGCGCCCACACCGTCCACGCAGCAGCACATGCCCCTGCATACACACAGACACTGAGCACCCACACCTGATCCAGCAGCATTTTGCCCCCACCGCCCCAGGGCTGACCAATGCTGGCCTACAAAGCATGGAAAGAAGCACAGGGCAGCGGTTCAGGTCTGTCTCCCTTTAATCACAGGTACAGTTGTTACAGCACCAGGTCCATGGCAGGCAAAGCAGAGGCAGGTGGTGCTGAGGCCTGAACTCTGGGGACTCACCACGCTCCAACACCATGGAGCAGCAGTAGGAGAGAGGGGCAGGGAAGGCACGGCCCTAGAGCCCTAAGCCCCTAGATCTCCTTTCAGCAAGCACCAGTTCCCAGGAGAGCAGTATGCAAGTGCCCCAAGGCCTCTGCATCACCACAGGAAAGCCAGGCCCAGACAGACACAAGCACATTTATTATTACAGCCTACCAGATGACTAGCATGAGAGAAACTACCTACTTAAATAAATAAGGGAGGGGAGGGAATCCTGCGCTGGCCTGTGGGCTCTGTCCTGCTGCCTGCAGCCTCCCCAGGCTCACCTCTTATAGGAGGTAGGATGAAGGTCTGCATCTGAGGGCATGAGGCTCAAGGCCTTAGGAAACATCCCCTTCTTCAGCAGTGACTGACAGCACTCTGGTGGAGTCCCATCACAGGCACTGAGCCACCCTCACGAAGCCCAGGGCAGCACTGCCTCCCTGGGAGCAACAGAGTGACAATCCTGCCCTCTACATGAGGAAGGACAGCAAGTCACAACCCCAAGGACCACACTTCGTAAGCCACGTCCTGTGTTCAACAGCTCCTCCCTGAGCAACGTGGCCTGTTCTTCCCTGGAAAGCCTTACCTCCTGCACAAATCCCCCTTCAGCCAGCTCATCTCCCACTCATGCTTGGAACACCCTAAGCCCCAGCTCTTCCTTTCCTCACACCCTTCTCTGCACCTCCTTTTTCTCTCACCTGCTCTACTTCAAACCAGCCTGTTCTCCATCTCAGCCACTTCTAACTGATCACAGAAGAGTTCCGCTCTCCTCCCACCCTTCTTCCCTCTGCCTCCAAGAAACAGCATATAGCTTCACCCTCACCTCTTCTTCTCTCAGGGCACACAACCAACGACCCTGGAGCAACAGGCAGCCGATAACACCACCAAGCAAGAAACTCAGTATCAGTTCAGGAGTTGGCAACAATGCGCCCTTGCACATCCCTGTCTGATGCACAGCCCTTGGCTGTCACTCCCAATCCTAGCTCAGATGTGCAGTAGCTATGGGCCACCCTCCATCCCCATGCCCTGCAGAGATCCACGTGCTGGCCCTAAGCTGCAGAGCTCAGCAGGAGGAGGAGAGCAGGAGGGAGGCTGCCCTGTGCTGCAGGTAGAGCCCAACTCATTGGTGGTCAGCGCAGGTTCACTACAGGGCACTAACATCAGCTATGCCTACAGGGAAGAAAATAACTGGGCACACAACAGTCCTGCCAAGGCTGGGCCTCTGTGTCCCTAAACAGCCCTCCCATCTTCACACCTCCATCCTGGCCTCTGCAGAGATGGAGGGAACAAGCTATGAGGGTTCAGGATGCCTAATGATGGTGGAGTCAATACACCTGAAGACAATCCCCTGCAGGCTTGGTCCCCAGAGCTGTGCAAGGGCAGGCTGGGAGGTGAGGGCACACAAGGGGATGGTGGCCCACCACCCTGACCAGGGGGGAGCAGGCAGCTCCATGCAGATTCCTCCTGCTCTTGCTGGCCATGGGACTGGAACGAGGCCCCAGGCACTCCTCTGCAGGTGCTGTGGTGCCCTCACGCGCCGGGAGGGTTGGGGGACTGGCGTGGAGTCCTTGCCGAGGAAGGAGGGATGGTGTGGAGGATAAAGTTGGAAGATACAACACAAACATCCAGGTGATTGATTGCGGTGGAGGGGAAAGAGGGAGTCTCGGGAGGCATTTAAGCCTAGTGCACAGAAAGGAGAAAGACAAAGTTTACAAGCCCATGAGGTTGCAGGTAGTCCAGGGAGCTGGTGGGTCAGGTCCCAGGCTGCATGCAGTGACCATGAGCC